AAAGAATATCTCTTTGGATTTGAGACTTTAGTCTTTGCAACTTTACAGATCTTCTTTATGCACCAAGAGCTTGTAACACTCCAAAGAGAAAGGAAAACTTGAAATCGCATCATATGACCCCTTTAAACCGCATAAACACATTTCATTACACCAAATACACAAAATAATGTTCTTTTTAGCAACATCATATGACCCCTTTAAATTATTCACTTTTTTTAACGTGGCTGACACTCCCTCTGAGTTGAAATAAACCAATATCCCGGAGTAATTAATTTACTTAAACAGTACACTGACTGAACTGCTGTTAAGAGAGAACTGGGCTGCATATTTAGACAGACTTAAAGAAGTTCCAGATCTATACTTGTGCTCTTATTATTTCAGTTATTTTGCCTTTAATGTAAATAAACATGTGCAAACAATATACTTGCTCTTGTGAATTTATTTTGATGTTAATTACATTGTGCAAGCTGTCTCTTTAATACGTGTGGTTTATATACATGTTGCTGCTGATTGGGCTGACATTTTTGACACCGAACCCACCCACCCAACAAGAGAAAACGTATCTCAAACCCTGTTGCACACCGTTTCCTGGAAACATGTTGTTCAACCCAAAACGTTGCGCACCGGTTTGAGCTTGAACGTGCCCCTGATGATGAACACAAGCAGAGCAGCGTGTGCAGCGCGCCGGGTACTAATGAACATACACGCCCACTGCTGGAGCGGTTCTCGTTCTCGAGTCAAGAACCGGTTGCATCGGTTTTCGGATCACCAGTATACTGAACCGAGAACCGTTTCTTTCGGACACGTCAGATTTGAGAACTGATGAGCTGATGATATTGCGCATGCGTGATTCAGCGTGAAGCTACCGAACAGATTGCCTACTAGACTGACACAGCACGTCTGAACCGAACTGGTTCTTTTGGACAACTTGATGCTGTGCTAATGTTATGAGAGCGGGTAAACCGAGGACTTGAATGAAGGGCAATCTGGCGAAACGTACGTTTATTTAATAACAAATAAATCGCAATGTATAGTAAGTGAATTATGGTTTCTTCGCTGATGACAACTAATTTACTATATATCTTCAAGACTTAAATCCTCGTATGCACATCAATGCCTGTTACTGTATTTGGGTGCTTAGTTGCAAAACTTAATTGTAAACTTTTCAGATCATGATTATGATGTTTTAACTGGCTGAAGTTATGATACTGACTTTATATATTTGAAATGTGTATTTTCATCCTGGCCCGGGACGACAGACTTGATATCATTACGTCATCGCGATTGACGTCATTACGTTTGGGCGTAAAAGAACCGATGAACCGTTTTTTTTAACCGGTTCATTGAAACGAACTGTCCGAAAGAACCGGTTCGCGGAAAAGAACCGGACTTCCCATCACTACCCGTCTGAACAATGAATCAGACTGAATCAGTGCAAGCAGTTATAAAGAAAATCGATGAAGAACCGATTAAGGATCTGAAAAAAAGTAATTTTAATTAACTTGTTTTATGAATATGTTTATGCAGATTATATTTTATTAAAACATGCAAAAAACTGTTTAGTCAAGAGGTGTAGGCTAAATAAATTTTGGTGATGTTTATTATAAATGCAAATTATCTTAAATTAAATGAATTAACAAGAGAAACATTTTCAGGTATTCTATACATCGTTTCTCCATTTTGTGTATATGGTACACAATATGGTACTTTACATACATAATTAACAAATTAATCATCAAATTTTGTTCCAAATAGCAGGAAATATGCCAAGCCAGGAGGTCAAGGACCACGTGATGATGAAGTATTTCAAGGCGTGAAAGACCGGGGCTGCATTCAGCCCCGACAAAACGGTGCAAAACGTTTTTTAAACGGAAACGGTGGTGCGTTGAACACACTGTTCTGATGACGCAAGAGTTGCAACTATGGCAGCTGAGAAGGCCATTCTTTGTGTTCTTTTTGAAGAATTTTCGGAGCCTGATGAAATCGGTATAAATACGTGTTTAATACTGCAAAATACGCTCGATGGTACAGTCATTGCCCTTGCCCTCCAGAATAAAAGAGAACATACCAATCGAGTGAAGGGATTTGTGGAAACTGTGGTTCCTAATATTGTGATCCAACATTTGCCTCGCATTGCATTTCAGGATGAAAAGACAAACATTTCAGGTGAAGGATAATCCACTTCTTACCTCCGAGACTGTGTTATGATCTATATGACCTTATTAGGGGGGAAGTCGTGGCCTAATGGTTAGAAAGTCGGACTCATAACCCAAAGGTTGTGGGTTCGACCCACCAAACAAGAGAAAACGTATCTCAAACCCCGTTGCACACCGTTTCCAGGAAACATGTCGTTCAAACCGGAAACCGTAGCAAAACTTTGCGCACCGGTTTGAGCTTGAACTTGCCCCCCGCTGAATTGTTTTGGAACGATTCTTTGACACAAACTGTCCAAAAGAGCCGATTCGCGAAAATGAGTCGGGTTTCCCTCTCTCTAGCCTCATTTCCTTCAACTCCAACATGTGCTGGAACCCAAATAAATGAAATAAAAATGCCCTGATTTTTCATTCTATATATATACTGCAGTATTTCAAGTATGACATCTTGTCTGCACTCTAGCAGCGTTATGTCACCGTATCCATTAAAAAACAACTGCGCGCGTTCTGATTTGAATGACAACGGCTTCCTCCAATCAAAGCGCAGGACAGAGCGAGAGGGCGTTTCCGTTTCCCCTTGCGGCCTGTTCTGTCTGTCACCTCCTGCTGCGCGGTTCTAGCTGTACGGGACGCGTCCTGTCCCCGGTGCGCAGGCGGGAGAGGCCCGAGCTGAACGCGTAAACATCGGGCGTGGGACGCATGATTTTAAAGGACTGGGTGCTGCAAATGGAAGCGGATAGTTTTGTGCGCAGGCGGCGGATGACAGCGGACACATCGGGCGGCGATGCCGCGGTGGCCGGAGCTTCCGCGGGAGCGAAGATACACTGGCTCGGCGGCAGGTTCTGGGGTGTTTCCGAGAGTCTCGTCGGCATTTTGACACCTCGGATAGCAGGAGAAACGGAGCTTCATGTTGGACATTTCTATGGTTCCCAGGAGGCCAATGATTTGTCGGAACCGGACTATGAGGGTTTGCCCCAGGGTGCCTCCACCAGCACGCACATGTTGGCAGGAGCAGTGGCAGGAATCATGGAGCATTGCCTGATGTTCCCTGTTGATTGTGTGAAGGTAAATAACGCAGTTGCAAAACATCAAGAGTTTTATAAAGAATTGAAGTAGAGTTAATGTGACCAGCAGGCCCTTGAAAGATCCGACAAGCTGGGAATGTCGAGTTAGTTCCCCTGTGTGGTTTCCAGACTATTTATTTTATAGTCTAACGTTACAGACAATATAGTTTCCCTCTGCTTCTTCTCAGATTTTAGTTGTTTACATATAGAATTAACTGTTGCACTTCATATTCATTGCAGTTGGTAATGTTAAGAATTATGTGTAGTCATGTAATCTCTCCAACGTTTAATTCTGTCTGGACCAATCTAGTAATAACTAACATAAGTCCCAAGCATGTAATTCCACCAGCACCTGCTTGCTTTTTGTTGTTGGTGGATTGTTATGAAGGTAGAATGACGTCAAAAAGATTTGCATACGCAGGGTAAGCAAATAATTTTTTCTTGCGCTTGAAACACGATTTACACCGTTACAAAGCTTCTCTTGCGCATGCAAATTTAATTTACGCTTACAGTCTTATGTACACTTCCACAAATATTACCCTGCGTATGCAAATCTTTTTGACGTCATTCTACCTTCATAGATTGTATCCTGTGTTTGTAGTACCTGTCTGTCTGCGAGGTGTCATTATGGAACATGAACATGAGAATGAGGTAGTGATGTCCGGTTCGCGAACGAATCGTTCGATTTAACCCTGACTTTATATATTTGAATGTGTATTTTCATCCTGGCCCGGGACGATAGACTTGATATCATTACGTCATCGCGAATGACGTCATTACGTTAGGGCGTAAAAGAACCGATGAACCGGTTTTTTGAACCGGTTCATTGAAACGAACTGTCCGAAAGAACCGGTTCGCGGAAAAGAACCGGACTTCCCATCACTAGAATGAGGTAGGAAGGTCACACGTGGTTTCTGCGCTCCTAAACCACATGACCTTGTTGACGCTGCTTTGGGATACTGCGCATGCGCATTGAGTCTGTAGTTCAAATGCAGTCTACTGAGAATTAGGTTTTGTCTTTTAAGTCGTAGGTTAACATAGAGGCAATACACTAACTGAAAGGGTATTATGTTTTTTTGACATACACCATAGCACATCTGTGATATGCTACTAGTTGTTTAACTGCTAGACAGATACTCCGACTGCATACTTCTCACTAGTGTTTCCCTAAACAGGACACTTCACTTCATGTGTCATTCAAACCGCTTTGCATTAGAAGTGTTTGCTGTGGATGCACTGATCAAGATGCCATTGGCAAACTGTAAGGAAGTATTACTTTGAGTGCTCAGCTGCTCTTGTCAGGATGAAGTGAAGGGATCTTTAGAAACAAAGACACTTGTTTTATGTCTTTTACAGCTGTTCTCTCTCAAATGGGCCAGTCCAGACTGTGATCCTAGAACACACTGATCTCTTTTGTTCATTTTAACAGTTTTTTTATTACACCTTAAATATTTGCTATAAAAATAGTATTAGCCTATATATAAGAATGTTTCCCTCAACTTTTCATATTTTTAGAGTGCCACACATTTGACTAAAATGTAAATTTTGATTTGCTTCTGCATTGAAATGATTTTTTTACTGACTCATATCCCACCTCTTCATCTACATGAAGACACTACACTTTTTAGTCCGTTTTTAATGTATCAAATCAAGTTCAGCCCACATTTATTCATGTTGAATATCTTGTTTCATTTGGAAATATGTTAGTAATAAAACTGGTTGGAAGTATTTAATGTTGACTTTTAGATTTTTGCAGTCTGTCACTTTGCAAAATATGCAAGTTCCGTACTGAGGTTGATTCACAGCAGTATGAGTGATGAGGAAAGGTAAAGCTAACAGTAGATTCTGTTTTAGGGCTGCAACAAACAATTATTTTGCTAATCGTTTAATCTAACAATTATTACAATGATTAATCGACTAATCAATGATTTCACAGATTAACAAGTAGGCTTTGTTCTATTATTCAGCTTTTACAATTAGTTAAAATATTGAGTTTCACATATACTAACTTATAAATAAACAAGATAGGCTAATCTTAAACTTTTGAAAATGTCAAACAGTTATATTGCAAACTATCACTTTAATGTAATAATATGATTACATTCACTAATAAAAAGATTTTATCATTAGCTGGCTCACTGGAGAACCTGCTTAATAACAGAAAATCAAGTTGTAATTTTAACTGAAAGCGACGCTGATTCTGTTTTTTTAATGTTAAATAAATACTGTAAAGCTGCTTGCTTTAAATCAAACTATTGTATAAAGCGCTATATATAAATAAGTGTGACGTGACTGGAGTGCCGATTGCGAAGCTGGTGCAAACTTATCCACATCGTTATGATTAGATACTAGGGCTGGGTGATATAGCTAAAAAATATATCAACGATATATGTTTCATATCGTTCGGTATCGATAATTATTGACATTTTTTATAACCTTTTTTAAAACAGAGCAATAGAAAAAATAAATTTAATTTAACCACTGTATTTTTAATTTTTTAATTAAAGAACCGTTTTATTTACCCACTTTATTAAGACAAACAACAATATATATATATATATATATATATATATATATATATTGTTGTTTGTCTTAATAAAGTGGGTAAATAAAACGGTTCTTTAATTAAAAAATTAAAAATACAGTGGTTAAATTAAATTTATTTTTTCTATTGCTCTGTTTTAAAAAAGGTTATAAAAAATGTCAATAATGA